AGCAAACTCTCCAGTTTGCGAAATCCTTCTCTTCGATCTGTGATAAAATGGCTTGGAAAACTGGATATTTTTCTCTCTCTCTTTTTTGTTTGAAAGAATCGTAGAATAATAGCAGTACGTGACTCCGCTGTATGATAAGATGCTAACGAGAACGTGATGGTGCAGTGTAGGCTCTTGATGCGTTAATTGTTCAACAGGAATTATACTGTCAAAAATACTGTATGCCATAAGTGTGATGCGACTGGTTCCTTAATTTTTGTTGTATCTATTGCTCCAAACAAGAGAGATTTATGGAATCTGGTACCGTAGTACTGTTACATACGTCTACAAGTTGCACAGGCTGAGTCGGATTTAATTCCTTATCAAATCTTATACTATCGCCGTCGTGTACGTTTGACTTATAAGTCGTATTTTTATTAACAATATTTTTCTCTCATAATAAATCGATCAATAGTATTTTTAGTCATGACTTATCAGTCCAACGAACGTAGCATATATCGCTATAAAGATAAGAAACTATGAACTTTCACTGTATCTCCCTTTTTCTGTCCATTTGTTTTCTTTTTTTGACTAAAGCTAATCATTACTCTTTAGTATTGCTCCAATACTATAACACTACTACCAAAACCGGAGTGGATATATCCGTTCCTATTGCCCTGGTGTGGGCACAGCCAGCAGTACAGAATTCTTGTTTGTTGGATCTCTGAAGAACAAGTCGATATATCCTTTCTGAGATTTATTTTTGATGTACGAAACCGGAGGCATGGCACCTTTAATTAGTGGATTCCTATTCCTGAATCATGAGCGGTAGGCAAAGCATATTCCATTCCTTTGTCATTGTTAATTTACACTACAGTAGTCCTTTATCATCATCAGACTTCACTAACTAGAACCAATGATGATCAAAACGTCTTAATCTGGCTCGAGAGAAATTACACAATGACACCTGCAAATAATTTGGCAGGTAGCAGAGCACTGTACCAGCTGAACTGCATTTCTTATTTTGCGCGAAAAGCTGAATTGCAATATTTTATACAACTATTCAAGTTCATGTCCTCTTGGTTGGTCTATTTTAATTGAAAGACAAAAGGACTATATGGGGCCATAGCTAGGCATAACTGGAAGGGTCCTTTACATTTTACAAATCCCAAGTAATTCCTCCACTTATTCCTCATCATTAGGGCTTAACAATGGAAGCTCCCCTTTGCTCTCCCTTTTCATCCGTGCCGTTGCCGGGTGGCCGGGTGGGCGAGAAAAGCATGGGCCAGGTGAGGCGGTGGGTGGGCCAGGGCGAGTGCGTGGCGATGGCATGGCCCAACGAATGGAATGTCCATGAGGAAGCTGTGCCCAGGTTTGTTGGGCCACGGAGAGACCAGTTGGATCTTTAAACCCGCTAGCCCTACTACTACGCCTGGAAAGAGGAAAGCTTTTAAAGCCCAACGGCCGAGATATTCCCGCGCACGCATCATTGCGTCGCAGCGCGTAAAGCTGCCCGCTTGCACGCCTGCTTCGCCGCCTGCGTGGGCCCCGCCTGTCATATGTTGTTGCGCCGAGATGGAGTGCATGGGGGCGCTGATGAGCTGGGGGATGATGGGTGAGCCGATGGACGAGCGACGGCGACGGTGACCGCATGCATGCGCGGCTGTCGGATTCAGAAACGGGGGAGATTCAGATTCAGTTATGGGGTACAGTTCAAGTTTAAACTAAACACTCAAAGGCTCCGATGTGTACAAGTCACTATGTCAGCAAGTGGCTACTAATTCAAAACGGGCCGAATGCTCGCATAGTCGCATAGGCTTAGTCAAATTGGGAAGGATGAGAAGCGTGAAACGGATCACGGCTGTATTAGAGGCGTTGAGATGTGTATAAAAGTTTATGCTGGGCATCAGAGATCACAGCATATTGTCTTCGTTTGGCTGTGGCTTGTCATAAACGATCGTAAATTTTCAGTCGAAACAGTATTTTTCTCTCACACAAACCAGCCAACAGTACTTTTTCACGAACCAGCAACGAAACGAACCGGCCAACCGAACAGGCTGATGGCCGACAGGCTTCAATCAGGATAGGCCTGGCGTCGCGGCCTACTCCAGACCCAGAGACAAGTGCTAGCAGTAGCCACTAAATAATCACACGACCATCAAGGCACAGGTACTTCCTTTTCACAAGTGGAATTCTGCACATGCAGCAACATTATACCTCGCCGTCCAATCTTTTGACCTCACGTTCCACAGGGAGACAAAAAAGAAGCGGTAATATTCCGTTTTTATTCCCACTCGGTTTCATGGCCTCTGTCTGTCGTCACAATTCACTTTTCCGGCATTCCGCTCTGGAGTAGGAGTAGTACTACTCTAATCTCTCCCGTAATACTCCTCGAGTTGGACCTGCCCTTGTGCAATTCGTAAAGAACTCAACGGAGTGTCAGTGGTACATGCCTACATGGTATATCCAATCATCAGATGCTCATCTACTTGCAAGGATATCAGTACTGGTTGAATTTTTTTAGCAACTCTGCTATTCAGAAAAAGGTCTGGCGGTTCAGAGTTTCAGACAATGGCCGGCAGGCGGCAGAAGAGGCATGAATGATTACTTGATTAGCATCGGTACCTTTTGGTGCAAGTTGTATCGACAAGTACGTATGGCACTGTCAGTATTCAGAAAAGGTAGTGTAGAATTCAGCTGCTCTTCCTACAGGCTTGTGCACGAGTGTGTGCGCAACTCAGTCCTTGGATTAAGGACCGCCTTGGAATGTGCACCATCGTCACGCTCTCCCTCTTCTTATCCATAGTTTCGAATGATACGGTGTGTATATATAATCAACCAAAGCATATTCGTCTTTCGTGGTGGAAGCTCACAAGCGAAGCCACTAATTCGCCGTATGTACAGGTAGATAGATTACTCATTACTTGTAGTGTCATCTTTTGAACATCATTGTGCATTCATTGCAGGTTTGCAACATGTCTGGCACTATCATCGCTCTCTGAACGAACTCTACACCTCAGCACATCTGACGACGACGACGGAAGGCCGACCATAGCCATTGCTTACTGGAGAACGACGCGGCGACGACAATGACGCGCAAGTCGAAAACTCGAAATGGAGCGTGAATAAGAGACTACCATGGATGGAGTAGATCTTGGCTGCGCACCCACGTTTCCCATGGCGACCAACCTCACAAGAAGAGAGCCATGTGTATGGAGGCATGGAGCGTGAACAAGGGATATGGTCGCCTGGTTTCCTCCTCATTTACCAATAACCACGACAACAGAAGGAGCAGAGAGAATGGTTCGTGGGTCTCAAGGACCTAATCTTGTCTTCGCGTTGTGCTTGATTGCTTCTTTGATGTCGGGGTCCATGGATGGACCGATGGACAGCTACCGTGTAGTCACCTGGACAGACCAACAGATCTGACTCCAGCTTTGCTCCTGAAAGGCTGAAACCATGCGCGGCATTTGGCTCGTGGCCGTGGTGGGCCTAGTATTGTCGTTTGCAAGTTTCGTGGTAAATTCCGTCCGCACCACCTGTGCAATCTTTCCGAGTTACTCTACTTTTTCTTTTTCGATTGAGGACTTTTGGGGCAAAAGCGTCAGGTTTGAGGGATGCCGGATTTGCTTAGTGCAACTTCAACATCCTGTCACAGTGTCACTCATCTAAGAATGAGTAAAATACTCTAGCGGCCCTAAACTTGTACATCAGTGTCATCTCCACCCTTAACTCTCAATTTTTTATATTTAAGTCCTGACGGTGGTGTCCTAACTCTCAAAGTTTGATATTTGAGTTTCCAAATTTAAATGACAATGTCATCTAGGCCCAGAACTTGCACGTCAATGCAGCGTCAGTGCCATTTATGTGTTAAGGTGCAAGTTCAAGGACCCAAATGATACCGTTGTATAAGTTTGGGGACCCAAATATTTAAATTCAAGAGTTGAGAATCAAAGTGACACCGTCATATACAGGTTTAGGGACCCAAGTATCAAAATTCTAGAGTTAGAGACGTAAATGATACCGTCATGCAAGTTTAATGACCGCTTGTACTGCTTTAAAAAAATATAATCCAGACGCTCTGGTCTTCAAGGTACTCAAAAGAAGTTTAATCATAAGCTCTTGAAACCCTTATCACAACGAGCAAATGAGCACGCAAAATTGTTTTGTTTCCCAAAAGGTACGCGCATCATCATTGCAAATCTGTTTTTCAAGCCGCATTTCGGGACCAAATTATTTTGCCGAGACGCTGGTGCAGGAAGCATCCAAGCTCACGTCACAAACAAAACTAGCAGGCTTTCCGCACAAACCACTTCCAGTTTAACCGTTCTCATCACGAAGACTGAATAAGGCATCAGAACAAAATGAAGAAATAAACTTATACCCAGGTCTCATTACTTGCAGGGTTTCAGAGGAGATATAGTGATAAATACAAACTATAATACCATCTTAACTTTATTTAGAAGAGCCTGAAGTACAGGTAACAAAGTACTCCCTCCATCTACAAAACAATACAATTCTCGCTTTTCAAATAGTCAAACAATTTAAACTTTGGCTGAATTTATATAAAAAGATACTAACATTTTATACAAAATAAGTACCGTTACATTAGTTATATAATATATTTTCAAAAAAAATATTTGGAAACATAAATGCCAATACTTAATCAAACTGAGCTAATTTGATCGGCATGGATTTCATAATTACATTCTTTTGTGGACCGGAGAGAGTATTAGAATGAACCCCCTTTAGCAATTAAGTTGTAACACAGAAACTGGCCAAACAAGTGTTGGGTGGCAGAACAGATGTTAGCTGAGGTAAAACCTGGGGTTCCATACAGAATCCATATCTATTAAGTGAAAGTAATCGAGGGAGTATATACACACACAACTCTAATTTTCATGATTCTTCCATTGGTATAACCTTACAACGGATCACATTTATGACATCGACGAAAGCACTACAGGATAAAAACTTGTGATGCTTCTGTGCAATTATTTTCTAGGGTCGCTGCTGATATCTCACAAGACCTCGTCTTCTTGCACATACAGGCCACCATCGGTCTCAATGGGCATTGAAGGTGGGGTTCCAGGTGGAATGCAGGAAGCCCCGTTTTCTCCTGCAATAGTACACAATGCCTCCGCGTCCTGGATAGCCCGGTCAAGATTGATCTGACCACTGAGCTCATTGATGAACTTAAGGAGGGTATCGAAATCCATCTGCTCCCCAATTATCCGCTGACGATATTTTTTCAAGATTGCTACGCACAAGTACAAGTGGAAATGTTCTGACAAATAATGGGTCCACAGAACTTCCCACAAAAGCATGATCTGGTCGAAACTGAACTCCCTGCGATCCATAAGAAATTGATCCATCTCAGAGTTAAAAAATGAGACCTGATGCCTGACTGGTAAGACACATTTTCTTCAATTTACATAATTGGTCAACTGCTCGTGGCTAGATAAAATAGATCTGCTGCTTAGTTAAAATAAGCCCTTCCAACCACTCCACCCCCACCCAAAAAAAGAAAAGAAAAAGAAAAGACCTGCCATGCGGTTAGATCAAGTCTGAACTCACCTAATTTTAGCTATGCACCGGCAAAACCTAGGTGTTTTTTTTCCCCACGAATGAAGCAGGTAATACAAATTTACTAACATCATGATTGATGATCCATGGCCAGGCAAATGATTCCTCCCCTATAGCAAACAGTGATTAGAGAGATTGCCGATGAAGCACAGCTGCGCATTACAGGCATAGCAAAAGGGCTAGGAAGTCTGACAAGTTTGAGCAGAGTAGATTTTGGTCTTTGAAATAAACTGCATTTGGTTCCTTTAAGTGGCTGATATTTTTTTACTTATTTTCACAAAGACATGCAGCTCTCCAGTAAAAAAAGCGTAGGAAAATTAGTCTGGGGCACTACTGGTCCGTGAATTTGGTTGTAGAAAATTGATAAAATAAAAAGGGAAATTAGTCTGAAGGTAGGTACTACAGTGACAGAAAAAAGATGACCTTGGGGTAAGACAGGCCCTGGGCGTTTTGTTAAGAAGATCTTCTCACGCACATCAAGAAAACCCCCGAATCCCTGCCCCACCCATACATAGCACAGTGACAGAAACAGGAAACATTTCAACTAAGCTATGGTTCAAGGATGGAATACAAACTGGTGTCACATGCATATGCAAAACACTTGCAACTTAAAAAGAGAAGAAAATATTACCTTTTGAACTGTATAAGAACCCAGCGGAAACAGAAGAAGTAGTTCAAGCAGTCATTCTGCCTAAAATAGTTATGCAATGGAGGATCAAGAAGCTCCACAAGCTGAGGCACAAAACAAAAAAAATTAGCCCACTAAGCTGATAGGCGTTAATCAAAGTAACAATGGTATGATAAATACTGAAGTGTCAAACCATTGAAATTTCGAATGCAAGAGCATGCGAAAGGTTCCAGATCTTAATGACTTGGCATTTTAAAATAAATTTTGTAACAAGCTGTACAATGATATTTCCATGATATGAAGGCTCAATTCCAGAGAAGGAACAGATGGATGCACGTAATGACATAAGAACAGTATAGACATAATCCAGGAACTAGCACGTTTGCACTCGTAAGTCAGCTAAGCAAAATTCTATTGAGATGATAATGCGACACAGGCAGTCAGCTAGGCCTTATGGGCTAAGATCAGCATTACGAGAGGCTCATTAGGGTTAGGATTAGAGAGGCGTCAAGTAAGCCTCTCTATATAAGGAGATAAGATTAACCACCCCTCCTACAGGTTGCACGTGGATTCATGGTGAAGCGTCAGGCGCGGGCAGCGCATCATGTGAGACTCTGTGGCTGATCAAGCACCGCGCTGCAGCAGCTGCTGGTTCGTAGCTTACATGGTGTTTCCATGAACTTGTTTGTCTGCATCGTTGTCCCCGATGCTTCCGCTATGGCCATGGAAACAAGCATTTGTGCAATGGAATCTACAAGCTCGTGTTCTCCCTGAGGAGTGGTGGTTGCTGCATGCGAGTTGTCCCCACTAATAGATTTGTGCATACATAGTCAAGTTCAGCGGATAGGACAGCTACAATCTCATCACTTGGATCTGCATGAAGGCGTGGAGTACATCCCCATCTCGGAGTCCATCTGCACGCCACTATGTGCGTGGAGCCGTGGAGGAACATGTGATCTCCTGTGCGGTACTACTACTGAAGGGCAATGACCGTGATATCATGGTTGGTTTGCTTCCATGGGATCCAGGGGGACCATCATGCCACGTTGGCCCACAAGCCACAACTACAAATCTTGGACTGGATGTGCTAGTCCCGGCCACCTGACAGTCAGGAAGCCCAGATGGCATAGCATCAGCGGTCTGAGAGGCCCATTAGGGTTAGGATCAGAGATAAGATTAGCCAGCTTGCTTAGGCATCAAGTAAGCCTCTCTATATAAGGACATGAGATGTATCAATCAAAGGCAAGCAATAATTATCAGGAGAGATCCTCATCTTCCTCCAGGCCTTGAGATTGGGCGCTGCCATACTCGGTGTGCCCAATCTCAAATGTGCAGTTTGGCATCCATTCAGTCACACACCCTGTCATGTGGGGCCGTACGTATAGCCGGCGCAGGAGGAAGCGAGACGTACGCAGGGCAGCAGAACGCGCGGAGGGCGCGTTGGGCGCGCGCGGCGCAGCGGACGGCTCGGCCTCGACGGGTGGCGACCATGAAGGACAAACCCAAGTCGTCCGCCGGCTCCGGCGGTGACCATCGATCAGAGGGACCGCGTGCGCCAGATCATCCTCCACAGCACAAAAAGTGGGACTTTCCCCGCTTCGACGGCACGACAGACCCGATGCTCTTCCTCAACAAGTGCGAGGCATACTTCCGGCAGCACCGCACCATGGCGGAGGAACGCGTGGGACGCGCTTCGTACCATCTGGACGACGTCGCGCAGCTGTGGTACACTCAACTCCAGGAAGACGAGGGCACGCCGACGTGGGGGCGCTTCAAGGACCTCCTGAACCTACGGTTTGGGCCTCCCCTACGCTCAGCCCCGATGTTCGAGCTTGCTGAATGTCGGCGCACGGGGACAGTGGAGGAGTACGCCAATCGCTTCCAGGCTCTCCTGCCTCGCGCGGGTCGCCTCGACGAGGCTCAACGCGTACAACTCTTCACGGGCGGCCTTCTACCGCCACTCAGCCACGCTGTCCGCATTCACTACCCGGAGACGCTTGCGGCTGCCATGAGTTTAGCCCATCAGGTGGAGTTGATGGAAGCTGACCGGCTGGCGCCGCAACCCGCGCGGGCGCTCCAGCGCGCGCCCCACCCTGCTCTCACGTCGCGGCCAGTACTGCCGGCGCCTCCTCAGCCGTTGGCTGCATCCCAGCAGGGTCGTGGCGAGACCAACCAGCGGCGCCTCACCCCAGAGGAGATGGCGGAACGACGCCGTCAAGGCCTTTGTTTCAACTGTAACGAGAAGTACTCCCGGGGCCACAACAGGTTCTGCCGGCGCCTTTTCTTCCTCGAGGGCGTGGAGATTGATGAGGCCGCCGACGTCGCCGCGGCAGCAGCTACTACCGGGGAGACTGAGGCTCCCGTTTTCTCCCTTCACGCCGTGGCGGGCGTGCCCATTGCTGACACGATCCAAGTCCAGACGGCGGTCGGCGCCGCTTCTCCTCGCCTCGCTTTCGACGGCGGCTCGGACGCATGACTTCATCGGCGAGGGCGAAGACGGCAGCGTCGCGGGCTCGCCCATCCAGCCTAAGCCGCGCGGCAGCGGCAACCGTCGCTAACGGAAGCGCGTGGCTCGCCACGGGTCATCCGGAACGCGCCATTCACCATCGCTGACACTACATTCCATACAGACCTTTTTGTCATGCCTCTCGCAGGTTACGACATGGTGCTCGGGACACAGTGGCTTGGTACCCTGGGGCCCATTGTGTGGGATTTCGCCACTCGCTCGATGGCGTTCCAGTACGGCGGTCGGCCTTTCTCCTGGACGGGGGTCGCCTCGGCTCCTACAAATGCATGCGCGCCCTTGTTGCTGCGATGGGGCGCTCGACGACGAAGCTCTGGTCGCCTACGAGGGCGTCTTGGCGACCCGCAGGCCTTCCTCTCCGCCGAGGGGCGCGATCACGCCATCATCCTCAAGCCTGGCTCCGTCCCGTTCTTTGTCCGACCATACCGCTACCCGTGGCGCACAAAGACGAAAGTGGAACGCCAATGCGCAGCGATGATCGAGCAGGGCGTCGTCCGCCGCAGCGACTCGCCATTCTCCTCCCCGGTCCTGCTCGTCAAGAAAGCCGACGGGTCGTGGCGTTTCTGCGTCGACTACCGCGCCCTCAACGCCCTTACCGTCAAGGACGCGTTCCCGATCCCCGTCGTCGACGAGCTGCTCGACGAGCTACACGGCGCCCGTTTCTTCGCTAAGCTTCGACTGCGCGGTGGTATCATCAGCGCGGATGCGGCGGAGGACATCCACAAGACGGCTTTCCGAATTCACGATGGGCTCTACGAGTTCCTCGTCATGCCGTTCGGATTGTGCAACGCTCCGGCGACGTTCCAGGCGCTGATGAACGACGTGCTCCGGCCGTTCCTCCGACGGTTTGTCCTTGTCTTCTTTGATGACATTCTAATTTACTGGTAGCGACTTGGGCGGACCATCTACGACATCTCGCGCACCGTCCTCTCCATGCTCCGCCAGCACCAGCTCTTCGTCAAGCGCGCCAAGTGCGCTTTCGGCGTCTCCTCGGTGGCCTACCTCGGCCACGTCATCTCCGAGGCGGGCGTCGCCATGGACCCGGCCAAGGTGCAGGCCATCCATGAGTGGCGGTCCCTCGATCGGCGGCAGGCGGTGCGCGCGGCTTCCTCGACCTCGCGGATACTACCGCAAGTTCGTCCACAACTACGGTACCATCGCCGCGCCCGTTAACGGCCCTCACCAAGAAGGACGGGTTCTCGGACAGCGGAGACCGCCGCTTGACCTTCGACGTGTTTCAAGGTCAGCAGCGGTGACATCGGCGCCGTCCTCCTCCATGCCGGATTTCGCCAAGCCATTCACCGTCGAGCGCGACGCATCCACGCACGGTTTTGGCGCCGTTACGGTCCAAGAGGCCATCTGTCGCCTACGCCGGATCGCCGTCGCTTCGCGTCACGCAAGGCCGCCGCTATATGAACGTGGTGATCGGCTTGGTTCACGCCGTCCGCCATCGGAGGCCATACTTATGGGGCGGCGGTAACCGTCGTCAAGACCGACCACTACTCCCTCAAGTACTTGTTGGACCAGCGGCTAGCCACCATCCCCCAACACCATTGGGTGGGCAAGCTGCTGGGTTTTGATTTCGCCGTGGAGTACAAGCCAGGCGCCGCGAACTCCGTCGCCGACGCTCTGTCCCGTCGCGATACGGAGGAAGGCGCCGTCTTGGCGCTGTCAGCGCCCCGCTTCGATTTCATCCGCAAGCTGCACGAAGCCCAGCGACAGGATCCGGCGCTAATCACCATCCGCGACAAGATAGGCGCTGGTACACGCGCGGGTCCCTGGGCGCTGGTTGATGACCTGCTGCAGTTCAACGGCAGGCTGTACATCTCGCCGTCTTCACCATTGGCGCGGGAGATCATTGAAGCGACTCACGAGGATGGGCACGAGGGTGTCCAGCGCACGCTACACCGCCTCCGGCGCGACTTCCACATCCCCAACATGAAGCAGCTCGTCCAGGATTGGGTGCGTGACTGCGTGGTGTGCCAACGCTATAAATCCGAGCACTTGAACCCAGCCGGCCTCCTGCTGCCCCTGCCGATACCCCAAGGGGTGTGGACGGACATCGCTCTGGACTTCGTCGAAGGCCGCCCGTGTCTTGCGGCAAGTCCGTCATCATCTTGCCGGTGGTGGGCGAGTTCAAAGAATATCGCCACTTCATCCCTCTGTCGCACCCCATTTCGGCCGAGTCCGTCGCGCAGGCGTTCTTCACCGACATTGTCCGGCTGCACGGTGTTCCGCAGTCCATGGTGTCGGACCGTGACCCCGTCTTCACCTCGACGTTCTGGCGCGAACTCATGAGGCTAATGGGCACCAAGTTGCAGATGACGACGGCATTCCACCCACAGTCGGATGGGCAGTCCGAGTCCGCTAACCGGGTGATTATTATGTATCTGCGTTGCTTGACGAGGGGACCCGTCGCGACAATGGCCGTTGGCTTCCATGGGCGGAGTTCATCTTCAACACGGCGTACCGGTCGCCGCTACGGACACCCGTTCGCGTCGTCTATGGCGGGATCCGCCCTCCATCGGTCCCTACGAACACGGGGACACTCGTGTTGCCGCCGTCGCTAAAAGCATGGAGGAGCGGGCGGAGTTTTCGTGAGACATCCGCTACCGGCTGGAGCAAGCTCAGGCCGTTCAGAAGTTGCACTATGACAAGCACCATCGCCAAGTTACCTATCATCAGGGCGACCGGGCTCGCTCGCGCCGCGCCATCATGCGGCGGCCTCGTCTCTTCCTCAGGCCGTTTCGGGCAAGCTGAAGCCCCGCTTCTACGGGCCGTACCGCGTCGTGGAGTTGATCAACGACGTGGCCGTTCGTCTTGAGCTGCCTCCCCGCGCCCGACTCCATGATGTGTTCCACATTGGTTTGCTCAAGAAGTTCAACGGTCCTCCACCGGCTGCACCTCAGGCGCTACCTCCTCTCCACCACGGTGCCATCGTTCCGAGCAGGAGCCATTGTTCGGTTTCGCTTTACCGCTTGCATTCGTCGAGTTTTGATTCGATGGAAAGGGAGTCATCACCTGCGACGTGGGAGGACATAGACTCCTTCAGCGCCAAGTACCCACCTTTTCGGCTCGAGGACGAGTGAGTCTTGAGGGGGGAGATGTCATGGGGGGCCGTCACGTATAGCGGGCGCAGAGAGGAAGCGAGACGTATCACGGGGCAGCGCAGAAGCGAGGAGGGCGTTATGTAGTATGTGGCGCAATGCAATGACTGACTCGGCCTCGACGGGTGGCGGGTGAGTTGGATCGTAGTTTAGTTGGTTTCTATTTTCAGTTTAGTTGGTTTCTGTTTTTTAGTCCTTAATTATAGGATCAGTTAGTTTCCTTACGTGTGAAGGCCTCAGGCCATATTTATAGGCTGTAATCGGAACACTTGAGGATTAAGCAAGAATATTATCCTACTCCCATCTATATCTCTCCTAAGCCTACGGTAGAGGGGCATAACCTCACCGGAGAAGACGGCCGACGGCTACGAACTCCGTAGCCGCGGTGCAGCTAGTCGAGGATTTGACGACCTTGACACACCCTCAAACCCCCACGTTCTGCACGTCTCCCTAATCCAGGATGTGACAAACTTTTGAATCTGTCACGCAACATCAGAGAATGGAAAAGGAGCAACATGATGCTGCTTACTAGCTGCTCACTCAGCACTTGGCAGATGAATATGTTATATACCTTGGATAATGCAAGTAGTTGAGCATGCATGCCATTCTGGTCACGATTAAAATTGGCGCCTAGACGTTCCATCAGGGAAGCAAAGCACCAAAATGATTCGGACTCATCCTCCATGACATAAAGTATGGGAGCCAGAAAGTCACTCATTCCCTGGAATACACCAACATTGTAGTATAGTAACAGGAAGACAACAGCCAAAAAATAACATGGACTCCAAATTTCAAGTTGAGCATTTGAACCACAAACGATAAGCTCTGTATATCATGTAAATTATGAGAAAATTACATCAACATTTACTGGGTTCGTATAAAAGAACAAACAAAAATTTATCGACAAAGCTATTGAAGAAGTCAGTAACTCAGTATAACAGAAATAAGGTAAATGCCCTGCAAAATTCCTTCTTGTTAGTACGCCTGACAGTAAACAAATTAGCAGCAGCAGTGGTATATCTAAAAGCGGAAGTACCTAAACAATGAACAAATCTGAAGGGTTTTAAATATTGTGTGTACATGTATGATGTCATTGTCTAAAAAGAGCGTGAGAATTAAGCATCTATTGCATGGTATGAGTGTGTCGTAAGGGCTCTACCCCTCCCCCCACCCCTTCTAAATATAATGATACACAGCTCTACTGCATGTTTGAGAAAAAAAGAAGCATTAATAATCTATTCAAGCATCAGCCCTATGATGTGACTTAGCATAACTAGTATTCCCTCCATTCTCTTTTATAAGGCGCACACGCATACCAAGATTCAAACTTAAAAAAAAGGCGTACCCAGCGCAGAGAGCTCCCGCTCTGTGCGGGGTCTGGGGAAGGGTGTCAGTGACAAGCCTTACCCTCGCCTGTGCAATGCGAGGAGACCGCGACTCGAACCCGGGACCTTCCGGTCACAGGTGGTAAGACTCAACCGCTTGCACCAGGCCCGCCCTTCACCAAGATTCAAACTTTAATGACCAATAATTTAGCTAACATTTTTTAATTATCATTATAATACAAACTTGATACAGTTAGATTTGTAACCAAATGCACAATCCGATTATCATAAGTTTATAAGTATAAACAATATAATATAAAATAAATAAATGGTCAAAGTGTAATTTGGGAGATTGTGTCATGTCAAACTGTGCCTTGTAAAAGAGAATTGAGGGAGTAGAAACCAACAGACACAGTGTACTTTGTGTTCCCACAGAAATGACAGGAAGCTTAAATCATTTTACATGGATGTTGTGCAAGACAAAAAACTTACTTGGCAATAACCAAGATTGAAATTGTAGAAGGAATATGTTAACAGAATATCACGTAGAACTACAACATTCTGATTGTCATCTCCTTCGTAATAGGGAATGGACCTATCTGTTCTCACCTTGATAGAGAAAATATCAAAGCATCAGTTAAGGTACAACAGTGTAGTGCAGAATGGCAAATAGAAAAGAGAAATTATTTATACCACATCTTTGTCAATTAGGCCTTTTCTTTCCCTAAACTTGGTGAATCTTTTAGCTTGGGTGGCTGAGATACTCTGCAGAATGGTATCAAGGAAAATCATGCATATACTTGAGTAAATGAAGTGTAAAGTATGTCCCAAAATGTCAAAGCATTGTTCCAACATAGAGGAGCTAAAGAAAATGCATCGAACAGATCCCTATCTGCTGCCCAAAAACGACAGCCTTTCATTCTGAAAACTGAAGCTCTACTCCATAGACATGATATACCCAGAAACCCCCTACTTGATGATCGAAGGACCCAAACAAGGAGGGAACTGATGCCCAGGCTCCCGAAAGTTTCAGATTCTTAAAATACGTCCAGAGTTAACACCAAACCATGTGGCAAATACAAAATAATGTAATGCCAACATACTGTGGAAGGGAACATGTAATACCAGCATGGGTCACTTGTGAACACTGACTAACCTTCCACTGAGATTTTACGGCTTCATATTCTGCTCGTTTCATGGCAGCAAGGTATTCCCTCTCAGCATATGTTGAATCATATTCATGATACCCCAACAAGAATTTCCAGACCTATATGTCCAATATCAGAATATATTTATAGAAAAACAGGTCTCGCTAGTTACAAACTGTCAGATCAAGTGTTAAGTATAGACCTCTTTTCTCAAAGCATGATCAACTCCCCCATAGAAAACCTTTTTCCTCAGTGCCTTTGAATCCATGACTCTACCTTCAGGATCTAAGAAAGCTGCCCACTGTCCAAAGATTTTTCAGGCAAACATCAGAAGATTTCAAAGAGGAGATTTCAAAGAGGAAAACTGATACTGACAAAAGAGATATTGCTAGATGGTTTAAAAAAGTTTAAACCGGGACAAGTCATATGGGCTGAATACTACAGACAAGCTTTAGGTCCATGTACATATACCTTCAAAAAAAATTGTGTTATTCATATCAACTTAATCCAAGAATTTAGGTCTTCTGCCAGTAAAAGCATGTTTTGAAAACTACTGGGCAATAGTTCCGTTAGAATATCACCGTCCTAAAGGTTTACTTGGAATGCAAGCCATAAGTTAAAAATAAAAATTGTATACCCCTAGAGTCTTGAGCCAGAGGTGCACCGGGGGACATGCTTATCAAGTTTGCCTGAAACTTAGTTGTCCTAATGATAATTGTACTTTATGCTAAAACATATACCAGAAACCTCATCTTGGACTCATCTCAATGTACAATCACAACTCACAATTTATGCATTACATGGACTCAGTTATGGATCTAGAAGTAAACTAATAATTCATATTGCTATGGTCACAGAATAACTATGGATTTTTTATTTTTAATACATTTTTTATGGAAATTCAGAAAATATACCATGGATACACGGAATTACAAAAAAAATATGCCGTTGGCCGTTGGTAAAGCGAAACTGAAATCTCGTTCAACCGTTGAACGAAATTAGATAGTGATCGCACTAACATAAAACAAGATCTAGGTATACAACAGAAAACCGCACATGTTCACAGAACTTGTTTTACCAGGGAACGACTTTGGAACTTCATAGTGCCGGAGTACGATTTAAAGAAATCGTTTGGTCGGAAAAAGAATTCTAACGGAGGGTCGTGCAGGACCACACCTCGGGCGCGTCACTTTCCTCTCCACGTTGGACCTCGGCCAGGCGGCGGCATAGTAAGCTGCGGCTGCTGGAGAGCGGCAGGATCGCTGTGCGGGTGCTGATGGGGGCGGGTGCTGGTGCAGCGTGGCTGTGCATCCTGCATTGTGGCCGGCGCGGCGCAGCGCTGCCAACGGGCTGCTGGAAAGGTCTGGCACCTGAGGAGGCAGGGGGTTGGTGGGGGCGGTTGGCGTTGAGGGCAGGTGTTGCGGATGGCACGGCGGTGCACCCGTCAGACTGACAAAAAGGACCGGTGCCAGGGGAGGCAGGGCAGTGGCTACCCTGGCAATGAAGATATTTTTTTTCAAATTTGGCCAGCGTTTCCTGGAATTCATTTCATGGACAGCCGATTTTCAAAAAACATTTGTTGGACAGCCAATTTCTAAACTCGTTCTCCCAGAAAATGTCTATTTTTTTTTATAAAATCATGTTTTTGTTTTCCCACTAGGCGATTTTAGTGAAACTCGTTTTCCAAGGGGCGACATCATGTTATTTCTGTAACTTCATTGAAACAGGGTATATTTTTGTAATTCCCATTAAAAAAGTATTAAAAATGAAAATTTTGAATTACTACAGCATGGACTTCTAATGTCATGAATGAATTCAATTTAAAGAAACATATATAAATAAAGAAATATAAATATGTTGAAATGAAGAACGCAAAGATATCAGAAATCAAGGAGTTATTACCTCTTTGACACTTAACGGGTGATCTCTTTGTTTTCCCCATACCAGAGGTAATGGATCTGACTGCCAAAAGAGTGGATAAGCTGATGTTACACATTGATGAATATGCATTTTGCAATCATGAAAGGCTAATCAGTTAAAGCTTTCAGCGGGCATCAAAGGTCAGAAGACAAAACCAAGTGAGTAATGGTTTTCATTTAAAAGTTTTTTGTGAACTCATAGTTTGCAACTAAACTATGAGCAAATGTTCAATAAATAATTTATAGATGTTAAAAACTTGACCCCTGGAAATATTTCCAGTTTTCCACAGTAGCATTAATATGCAGAAGGTGAGAACTGCACCCTATTTGGCTAGGTGACAACTATCCCCAGTTAGCCAATATACCTCAGGTAAATTATCTAATTTACTGATGTTACAAGTCTACAGATGACTTGGGTGATCAGAGGTTTAGTTTCCAGATCAAACTATGGTGGTCTTGAACTAGAAATATCAGATGGTCCGTTGATCCTGACTGGCAATGTAATTGTGCCAAATTGTGGATCAAATACACAAATGCACAACAGATTTGAAGATTTCGTACTGATTTAGTATGCAGTAAATAATGCCTTCCAGTCATAATTTAATGATACTACACCACATAAAATGCAAGATGCATTACCTCGATTGTTGCCGAGGGTGTAGAAGCCTTTTCTGGTGTTATATACTGATTTTTATGTTTATCAGTTGCTTTATTGTCCAAAATGTATTCATGTTGTTGCCGTCCATAAGCATGAGCACCACTATTGTCTCGAAAGAGGCTTGATGTAGTATCTCGTGCAAATTTAGTAACCAATGAGAATTTCTCCAAGACTTGAATTGAAAGATCACGACCTGGGTCATTTGATTTGTGCTTTTGCTTTGAGCTATACTGAGACATGCTCGAAGTTGCCCCATGTCTGGACTCATCATTTGACCCAGTAAAACTGAGTGAATTTTGTCTTGACATGGCATTTGCTACAGAGGCTACTCCTGGAAGCTCCAAGGACGACAAGCTTTTCTGCAATGTGACCAAGTAAGGTGAATCAGTCTTCAAACTGGGAAACATTTGCGTCAGGAAAGAGAATTTTTCAGAGAACAGACTAAGTTGCTTCACATTGAAGTTCAAACTTAACCAAGAAAAGATTTCCCACTGTACAAAATTTGGCAGGTACACTTACAAACTCTTCCAGTTGATAAGAATTAAGTTCAATGATGAGTTGAGACTTGAGAGTGGTTTATTTGGCTAGAAAGAACTAGAATACGATAACACACCTGAAGGGGATCTTGAAAGTCGTTGACGAGAAAAACATTAGGATCGTCATCCGACCTTGAAACAGAAGAGAAAACATTTGAATCATAAATTCAGGGGGGAATGCATAAGGAAATTAGGTCTGCAATCAGGATTTTGGTCACTATAGTTGAAAAGTTCCAATGTTTCAAACTTAATTACCTTTCAATTGAATGAGTTGATGCTAGAAACTCATAATTAAACAAACTCTATACATAGGTTGCTAATTCGACAATTGCAGTTATCTCCTTCAGTGTAGATTCACGTGGTATAATTTATCTGCCTTATTATATGGATGATTCATGCATACAAAGAACACTCAGCCACTTTAGTGGAAGTAACATTATTTTTCCATATGGAGAAATCAAAATGATAGTTTATGGGCAATATAAATGAAACAATGGACCACTATTATTATGTATTTAGAACCATTAAAACAGAAAAGAAAACCTGATAATGAAGACGTGCTGCTTCAGCGTTGCAAACAATTCACGAATTCCACTGTTGTAGAAATAGAATGGAGGAAAAGCCAGGCCTGCAAAAGTTAGTAGGTAAAAATAAATGAACATGATCCCTTTCTCTCTAATTTTCTGTCAGTATGTGCATAAAATGATTTTTTTATCTAGACAGAAGAAGCAGAAATGCTATTATGTGTCGACAGGGTAGAGCAGAACCAATTGGCAGTAGCAATTTAATCATGTGGGGTTTCAAACTAATGATATGTAGAACAAACGACTAGCACATCTCACCTGATGAGAGAACAATTATTATGTAGTCCAATCCAAATGTTGGGGTGTACCTACGGATGAAGCGTACATCACTTAAAGGCAAGGCCTTGATAGTGTACAGATTTCTATCTGCGTAGGATCACGAAGTTTAGAGAGTAAGGCACCATCTTGTCCTTATTGCCAAATGCCAGATGATTAATGATAGTAACAAACAAACAAACTGTGCTGGCATACATTTTTCTATTTCCACACCGACTGAACTGGTTGACAAAGAGTCGGCTCCTTCGTTTGGCTCCCAACTCTGTCATAAATATTGATCAAAACAACAAAGGAAGAAAATAAAAAGGGAGCAACAAAGGAATCGCATGAATCATTGCTAAATCTATATCCATATAGCAATTAAGCAATAAGGCCCTGTGGGTTCTCAAAATGTAAACTGTGCCAGTGAAATATCACATATATAGCTGAAACTATATGAGAAACATGAGATAGAAATAGAAGCATGTGACTAGTTACTAGCACAGACAATAATGACCAAAATACAATGGTTCATTTAGCAATGTTATTCACCATACTAAGAAACTCAAAAGGCCTGACATCAGGATATGTAGACTAACATGTCTGCTACCATATGAACCCCACTTGAGTATTTGCTAGTGCTGTCATTATGTTCTTAGCAAAATGTTCGATTTCCTCAGTGAATATGTAGATATAAAAATCAACCACGTATGTATGTGAACGCTAATTGCTCAGGGAGATGAGCTGGAATGACTCACCAGGAACAATGATCCCTGCTGCAGAAACAGGCGCAGCTTCCCGCTGATACGACCGGAGCCATACTGCGATGGGTGGATAGTCACACGCTCCTTCTCATATACCACATCCACCCTCGCCGTCTCCTCTGAGCCTCTGTCCGCCGGATCAGTCCGCATCACCTTCCAACACCAAACAGGTATCAGTTCGGTCTAGAGGGAGAACACAGGTAGTCTATACCTCGCCACAACACACATCCCAACGAAACCAACAAAATTCCAGAGGCTATATTAAGTGCAAGTAGTACTACTATCCACTACAATCCAATTTCATACAGAGAGAGGGCAACTGCAGCTGTGATTAGTATCAAACAAGAGTACTCCACGCACCCCAACGTAAGAGTAAAGCAATCCAAGTCCACCCCACCCCCAACGGGAACCAATGACCTAACCGATGAATCCGCTCGTGCCGCCCCTAAATCGCGCGGGGGAGCAAGCTGAGATACGATGAAACCGCTCGTGCCGCCCCTAAATCGCGCAGGGGAGCAAGCTGAGATAAACGGCGGTAGCATCGAGTTAATCACGGGTGGCGGCAGTACCGTGCGGTCGGAAGCGGCGGCGGCGGCGGCGTAGTCGGAGTCGTCGGAGAGGTCGTAGAGGTCCGGCGAGCGTGGGGACCCTGCCTCCGCTGCTGCTACGTCTCCTCCACGCATCGCCACCCGGAGAGGTGCGATCTCGGGTTTTTGCTCAATCCCAACCAACTCTTCTTACTGCCGAAGCCTGGAATAGTATTTTGGGGGCTGATATGGCGTGTCCGAGAACACCGTGTTGGTGTTTTTTTTTTTTTTTGAGTGCGAACACCGTGTTGTTGGCGTGTTGCCTTTGATGTGTCTGATGAGTGTTAATAATGAGTAATTTTATCCCCGTGTTCCAGCACACTTTGGCCGTGAAACCGGATGCCGATATATTTTCACGCAGTGCGTAATGTTTTTTTGCGAATAACACAGTGCGTAGTTTTACGAGCAAAGATATTGTGTACTAAAATACAGTGGTATTCGCCGCGGTTACATGAACCAATAAGTCAAAGCGACTTATAATTTAAAATGGGGGGAGTAATATAAGGTCATGTTCGGCTTACCCCATATTCGACTTGTTCGGCTTCTTTTTTCAGCCGGAACAGTATTTTTCTCTCACAACAATTCAGCCGGAACAGTGTTTTCAGCCAGTTTCAGCGAACGGGGCGAATATAACAACAATACTGTATAAGTTAGTCACAGGGATAATATACTTTGCAAAGTGATATTAACTTATGCAGCATGATAAGGAATGTTATTTGTTCTTATATTTGTGTTGGATTGGATGTTCAGATACTCCTTATTCCGCATGTGATCTCAAGCCACATAAATGAATTTTTGAAATAAAATATATCGAATATCATGATTTAGGATTGAGATGGTATCGCCTCAGGCAGCCCATGCCTTACAGACGAAGGAAAACAGATCAGCATGGCCTGCATGGGTATTCCTTAGCCGTGTCCGTGTAAAGCCTGAAAGGGGCCCCAGAAAGGACTCGATCGTCGACGTTCTACCACTCTACCAGGGGAGGTCCGATCAGAAACCAGCTCCAGAGTAGTCCACGCAGGACCCAATTCTCAAGTCTCGGATACCAAAGACTTTCAAGTTCCTATATCAGTACAGCACGCTACAGTTCTCCTTACTACTTTCATCCAAAAAAAATGCAATTCTTCTTTTTTAAAGGAGTCAAACAATTTTAATAAGTTTAACTAGATATAAAGTATGGTACTATATTCTAAAAAAAACTTGATTTACGATGGAAGGAGTTCCAGGGTACCGCACCACACTACCCGCCAATGTAGTTAAAGTCTCTGCAACTGGCAGAAACTCTTGTGGCATTCTAATTTATATTGTATAGTTTCAATAAGCGAACAAACATTTAGACCATCATCAGAGCACTAAAATATTTCCCCGGACGACAAAATTCACTACACTGGTAAGGTCAACGAAGTAACTAACCCGAACCGGGGCAAAAGGAACAACAATTACAAACCAAGCTACTGGTGTTACAGGGCATATCATCATCACCATTGAACATCTCATCAGCTACTTCTGTGAATGCCATCAAGCTATGTCTACTACAAGTATATTTCAATTACACGGGAGAGAAGCACAATCAAGTGGGAAATCTAGTACATAATCACCAAAAGCACACGCCCTCCAGTTCCAAGAATGGGGTATCATGAATCAAAAGCACAAAAGCTAGAAACAACCTATTCAGCGGCATCTTCAGCCGTCATGTAGTGAAGAATGACCATAGTTTCTTGCTGATTGATTGGTTTCGCCTCTCTGAATCATCATCGTCCTCATCTTCCTGTTCTGCTCCAAGTTCACTTCCAGAACGTGTCATCTGCACATCAGGCAGTGCACCTTGGCCATCCACAATATCACCATCTTCCTCACCAGCACCCTCTACTGGGGCATGGGCATCACCAACTTCAGCCTAAAACAAAAAGATAAGGTTACAGTTAGATCTGGGCTCTGGTCCCCATATGTGCTATATACGCCTATACCCATAGAAGCACAGCACATGGCCCAAAATGACCAATATATCCAAATAGGCAAATACTGAAAAACAATTCAAAGATTGCCTGAAGGCATGTGTAGCTACAGCATTGGCAGTACATGTGGGCAGTACAGAGCACAGCAGCAAAGGGTATATTACCTGGGAAAACTCGTGCAACTGGGATGCGCCATAGTCTGCAGATTCAGAGGCCTTCTTGCTCTCAGGGGCAGGTTCCTCGTCAACCTTTGAGGTTCCTTCTGTGTCATCAGCAGTAGCTTCTACTGTATGTTTATTTCCTGCCTTCGCAGATTTCTTTTTGTCAGCTTGGGCTGTCGCGGCGGCAGCATTTGCACTTTGGAACAATGCAACGCAAAAGTATTAGTTTGATACACAATCAGGAAACAAAAACCGAAGCACCAAGTAGATATGATGAATTAGGGACCAATAACGATACTTACACTCTACTGTGTCTCAGATTGTAACGTCTTTCTCCTGGGGCCTCTGTCACTGCCCCAGAAGTTTGCCGCCTCTTGCGATGCTGCCCTCCAAGTGAAACACTTTCTGAACGTGCTTCACTGCCTTCTTCATCTTGTTCACTTATTGTAGCTCCAGCAAACCGCCGCTTTCGTGTAGCACCCATCATGACTTTATCTCCCTGACCATCATTCTTCTCCTCAAACGTCTCACCACGTATCGTTTTAGCATCTTCAACTATAGAACGAACGGGCCGTGTCCTTTTCACACCACCTTTCCCTCTGCCTCTCCGGTTTTGTTGGCACCGACCTTGCTTTGATGTTTCAGGCTGTACACCTGCTTCAGCAGGTGCTGCAGAATCCTTGCCATTTTGATCAATAGAGGCAATAGTTGCTTCAACTGCCATGTCGTTAGTTCCATCAAAGGACTGAGTGCCAAGAATATCTATACTGTTATCTGCTACACCAACAGAAGACTCCATCTGAGCATCATCAGCTACGTCATGCCTTTCAGAGTCTTCGTTCTCCCTGGTTCCACCATCAGAAGGGAGCTCATCCTCTGCATCAAAAGAATCATGGGCTATCTCATAGATAGGAGTTGGCTCATAATCTCCATCGCTCTGTGTTGCTTCCTCAAGTCTTGCGCCAAAAGGTATATTCTTTTCTGATGGTTGCTCTGATGACTGCTCACCTTTTTTTCTAGGGGAGAACTTGAAAAGCGTTGAGCACTTCCGTAACAAAGAAAAAGGACCACCTGAATTAACAAGGGTTCCTGTATCTAGACCTGATGTATCAGTGGTCAAGGCACGATCATCTCCCTCAACAGCCAAACTGGGATGTTCAATATCAGTACTGTCTTTAAGAAGAGAATCTGATACCTCAAAAATAGAAATCCCACAGTTCTTGCATGCCTTGTACTTTTCAGATAGATCGATAAGGTGTTTCCTGTCCCTGTTATATTTCTCTCGGCGTTCCTTCAAACTCTTGCTCAGTGAATGCAGACTCTCAATATCCCTTCTAATATCTGCCTTGTCAGTCTCCAGTTTCTTTCTTTCCTCTAGCAGTAATGATCTTTCCATCTGCAGCTCCCTTTTCTCCACTAATATCTTCTGAATCTTGGACTCGTTCAACTCAATAGCATGTCGGAGCTTATTTTCCACAAAATCCATTTTCTTATTTAACTCATTTTCCTTTTCTTCCAGTTCCTTCTCTTTACTTGCTTGTTTTTGCTCCATCTCCATCTCCAATTCATGCTGTTTCAGCTGCAATTTACGTTGCAGATCAGCGCGTTCTCCCTTCAGAAACTCATCATTTTCCATTTGCTTGTGTTTTATATCATCAGTCAAAGCCTTTTCCTTACGCTCAAGACTCTCCAGCTGGTCCTTGTATTTTTCATCCATTTCGAGCTTCACATCATTTAACCTTTTTTCTTCATTGTCACGCCACCGTTCTAAATTCATCCTCTCAATTTTCAGCTTTTTGTCCTCCTCTACTAGGAGGGCTCTTTTTTTGTCTAGCTGTTCCCACTCTTCTTCAAATTTCTGCCGTTGCTTCCTCAAATCCTCCATCTCCTCAGATAGGGAGTTGCTTCGCATTCTGTATTCCTCAATCTCCTTCTTAAGTTTTGCTGTCAGCAAGCTATGCTCCTGCCTCTCTTGCTCTGTGAGTTTCAGATTATTCTGCTCTTCTGATATTCTTTCCTTTTCAGCTTCTAATGCTGATTTGATCCTTTCCAGCTCCAATTTGTATGTCTCCAATTGTTCTCTTTCATGATTCAGTTGCTGCTTTTCTTCCAGTAATCTTTTCTCATCATTTTTCAATGATTCATCCCACCTCTTCAGAGCCTTGGATTTGGCATCAAGATCATTCTGCAAACTTTCCATTGATTTCTTCTTATCATTCAATGCCTGCTCACTTTTAGAAAGTTTAGCCTCCAAAGATTTAACATCTTTCTCTCTTTTCAATAAATCCGCTTCATTCTGTGTCATCTTTTGATCAAAAGATTTCCTTTCCCTCTTTAGTTCTAATTCGAAATCCCGTCTTCTGGATTCAAGCTCCACTTGATGATCCTCAAGAAGCTTCTGGAGCCCCTCCTGGAACACAAGGGAGAGAGCTAGATCAGTCCACTGAAGGGGAAGAAAAGGTAAAGAAATAGTAGTCCACCCAAAACATTCTGATGATTGGTGCAGATTGATTCATAGAAGACACTGCATGCGATAAGAAAAGAAACAGCATATAGTGAAAACTATTTGAGAAGTACAGTGGCAAGCGCTAAAGTGACCTTAAGAACAAAGGCAACCCAGTTGAGTTTAACTTCACTGGTTGGCAAAACAAAACGTTAGGCAATTCAAGAATCATAAACTACAAGGTGCCTACAAGTGATTACACCATATACAGGAAATCATAAATTCATAAGGTACAACGAGCAAACCAGACCAAGAGCAGTGGACTGTTTCATCAAGGGTATTAACTGGAAGTAGCAAAATGAGGAAGACAGTCTGTTGCACTTACCTTTTCCCTAGTAGTGGCCTTTGCCTCTCTCTCAACCAACTTTTTTTCCCGCTCTTCCAAGGCACTGCGCTTTGAGTCAGCATCCTGCAAAACAAATCAGAATTGAGCAAACCAAATGTCTTGAACTGTTAAAAATCAACACACGAAAA